AGGCAGGAGGATCGCTGTGAGTTCAAGACCAGCCTGAGCTACATAGTGAGTTCCAGGTCAGTCTCAACTACATAGTGAGACCCTGTCTCAAAAAAAAAAAAAAAAAGCTTTTGCGCACCATGAGGCGCAAGCCTGTAATCCCAGCCCTCGGGAGGCTGAGGCAGGAGGATCACTGCAAATTTGAGGCCAGTCTGGGCTAAATAGTGAGTTCAAGCCTGAACTAATAGCAAGACCTTGTCTCAAAAAACTAAAAAAAAAAGCTTTTGCACAGCAAGAGAAACCACCAACAGAGCGAAGATACAGCCCACAGTTTGGAAAAAAATGATTGCCAGTTGTTCCTCAGACAAAGAACTAATATCTAGAATATATAAACTCAAAAAAAATCAGAGACCCAGTCCAAAAATGGGCATCTGAAATGAATATAGACATTTCTCAGACAAAGAATTAGAAACAGCAATAAACATATCAAAAAATGTTCAACATCACTGGTCATTTGAAAGATCCAAATTAAAACAACACTGAGATTCTGTTTTACTCCAGAAAAAAATGAATGTTGGGAAATGGGAAGAAACTGTTCAAATGGGAAGGGGAACAAGGAAGGAGGAGAGAGAAAGGAAGTAAGGGACAAGAAAAAAAAAGTAAAAATGGAAAAAGGGACACAAAGCTTTTTCTTATGGGGGGAATGGGAAAAAAGGGAGGAAATATGAGCAGGTGCAAGTTCACTATGATGAGTATTATCATTTTATGTATGTGTGTGTATTTTAAATGTACCAATAAATACTTTGCTTAGAAAAAATAAATATATGCTGAATGATTAAATTGAAGGCACTGTGTCCTTGTTTTATACTTTGGTGGGAGCTTAGGATTTAGCTCAGTGGCAACACACCTGCCTCGCAAGTGTAACGTCCTGAATTCAATCCCCAGTACCAAAAAAAAAAAAAAAGAAAAACCAACTTTATGGTGACTAAGTACATTTCCTAATGCTTCCAGCCTGTCTTTCTTATCTAAAATCCATTCTTTTTCTACAGTTAGAAGAAAAGGAGCTAGTGCTAGTCAGTATTTAAAGAGATAAAAGGTGCTCATGCTACCTCTTTCAGAAGAGCAGAATGATCCAAATGCCAAGATCTGTGAATTAGCGTGGATTTCTCTCTCGGATTTCTAGTAGGGTTACAGTAGACAAGTTGACTGGCCTTTTCTGTAGTAGTGTGGTCTTAACGAAAAGTTCCCATAGTTATTTTGGGCAATGCTTTTTAAGTTCTGCTTTCTTTTCCTTGGAAGAATAAAGTCCTATTGAGCATTTAAATATTTTGACATATCTGGATCTCTACCAGTGAGAATGACTCACACATTTGTCAAAAGAGGCATGTTTGTCTAAACAGCCTCATCCTGAAGCATCTGATGTGTGTAGAGTGCTGTAGTCTGTTAAGACACTTACTGTAAGACCCAGTTACATAAGAACTCTTCTCCCTGTCAGCCTCACTCTGTTTCTTCCTTGCTGCATTGAAAGGTCTTCTGGCGTGCTGCAGTTCTTCTGTGTTGGGACTAGGTCTGGTTTAACCTGTTGGGGTTTGTTCAACTATGAATTGTTAGGTTGTAATTTTTTCTTACTAGTGGGAAAGTCTTGGCCATTATCTCTTTAAATACTGACTCTACTCAACCCTCCCTCCCATTTCCTTTGGAACTCAGCTTAAATGTTTGTATTAGTCCTTGCCTACCTTGTGCAGGCCCTAGGTTTGATTCTCCCAGCATTGCAATCAATAACTGTATTGGACATTTACACTATGTTTCCTACATCTTAAAACCTCTTAATATATTTTGTATTATTTTGCTTTTGTGCTTGAGATTTATATATTTTTTTCAGATTTAGCCTTAATTCACAAATTGTGTGTCTACCATATTATTAAATCCATTTATTTAGTTTTATGTTGGTTATACTTTTCATTTCTACCAGTTCTGTGGTACTTTTTCAAGTATTCTGTTACTTTTTATGGTTTCCTATTTTCAGTCTTGTTCATTTCTTTGAATTTAATATTCATATTTATTATTTATTATCTCTCTGATATTTCCTAAACCTGAAATCCTATTTCGCTCTGTAAGACATAGATTGTTATTTTTGTGCCTTCCTCCATATACTTGACCACCTTGGCTCTATCTCTCATTATCCTTAAAATTGTAGGAAAAAATAAACAACAAAAATTGTACAAAGTTCAGGAAGCCCTAAAATGAAGTTATTTTACTCCAAAGAGTGTTTACATTTGCTTGTGCCATATGCCTGAAGGCACTACTAATTTGGAACCTTGTTTTGGGGATCACCTAGGTGGTGGAAATTTAAGCAGCAAATCTTAAGGAGAGCCAGCTTGCAGTGATAACCTCAACAGCAATTTTTTGTAGAATGAGGTGTAGTGTGTCACTTGAACTCAGCACCAAGGTAAATTTCCTTGCAGTCCCATGGGAAGTGGTTGTAGGGCCAGGGATTTAGCTCAGTGGTGCTACCGCCTGCCTCGCAAGCACAAGGACCCGAGTTGGATCCCCGTTCAGAAAAGTGGTTGTAGACAGAGAGCTGATGTCATGTTTTGGGTCTGGTTCATCATTATACCAAGAACAGAGCCTTCAGGATTCTACTCAAATGTCAGTATGTTTTCTCTTAGATTCTTGAGCAGATGCTGTTTTCCAAGTGAGGAAACAAAACGTGCATTCAAGTTGCTAGATTGCCTGTCTGAAGTCTGTTTTCTCCTCTACTGGTTTCACCTCATGTCTCTGATGTCTCACCATTAGCAGCCACTGGATTCAGTCCATTCCTCCTATATCTATGCTATTTCAAAATACATTATCTGTAGGCCAGACCTGTCTCTCTCTCTCCCTCTCTCTCTCTC